TAGCAGGGCTAACTATGCTTGTGTCTGGGTAACTTAAATTTAAATTTTTAACAGATTTTGAAGAAAATTCCAATTACAAGTCAGAGGAGTATCTGTAGCATCTCCTATCATCAAATCAATTGAAAATGACATTGTTTAATACTTTTAGTATTTACCAGCCTTGGTTCTTCAATTACTTTACATAGGGGGTAAAACAAGTAAACTCACTTGCTGAAGCTTCTACTTGTGGTCATTTGCCAAAACAGGACTGAAATTTATACACTTCACTTCCATATAAACTGATAATCAGCTGAGAAGCATATAGATATGCACAGTAAGTATTTGAGTGGCTGAGCACAACCTGAAAGGGAATTTGCTTTGAGGTAGTAGATGATGGGCAAAAAATCTGTTCATTGTCTCTGTAGCATTAACAATATGAAGCAAGGCATGGGAAGGTAGTTTTCATTTTTCCTGAAATTGGGCATAAAATTGCTCAAGAAGATTGAGTAGCTGCTTGAAGTTTTTGAATATAATCCATGAAACATCACTGATGGGACACTTTTTCTTACTAGATTTTGGACAAAAGATTATTCTTTTAACATTCTGAAAGTTCTAAAAAATACAATGTGACAGTAAAGCACCACTTTAAAATTTCTGGCTGAGTCCAGCTTTAGAAAGCAGCTCCTCCTGAGGTTTGATTCTGTGGAATATCTGATATTCAGGATCTTTGGAAAAAAAACCTCAACCAACCAAGAAACTTGGTTTTGGTAATTGAACTGACTATGAGATATTCTTCAGAAGAGTAAAAATGTGGATTGAAAGCTTTGTTGCAGGTAAGTGCCTCACAGCTGCATAAATACAGGGCTTCGATGCAAATAGTTTTTGCAGTCTGTTGACCAGCTATTATATCTGACCAGCTGTGTATTTCTGCACTTCTTGTTCAGTGATTTTTTTTGCTTGTGAAAATATTCCCAAGAATTAAATTGAATGAACTTGCAGGATTTATCAGTTTTAACCAGTTTATTTCACTAAAAATTTCTTACACGGTGGAGTGCTAAAGAAACTCAGTATGTTAAATATTTATAAAAATGTAACTATGAAGGAAACTCAGTCGTATGTTGGACTGCAAGATATTTAATCACTGGAATCTATGAAAAACTAGATGCCAAAAATAGAAATTGGACAAACACATCTTAATTATTAAAAAAATTAAACTTTAAATGATAGTTTTTCCTAGGGCTGTAATCAGTGCTGCATTGTGTCATAAAGTAATGAGATGGTACCTTTCTAGAACTGGCACTGTAGCTCAGTATAGAAAATATTGGATGAAATACTGTTGTACCCTTTTGAAACAGAATGGTCCATAGGGATACATTTCTTTACAGTTTGTTTTATGGCTGTTACTGTGGAGCTGGATCTCAGAGCATCCTCCACAATGTGTTACTTACCAAGGATCTGGTTTTTAAGTAGTTTCTGCAGTTTCTTCCTCAGCAAAACTTCCAATTCCAGCTCCAGTACTGACAAAGTTACAGCTTTGGTAGAAGACATTTTTTTCTGTAGTGCAAGTGCTTCCTAATTCATGCATAAAAACCTGCAAGGTATCCAGTAAAAAAAAAGCTTAACCAAGATCTCACTAGATTTATTTGGTGTTCCACCATGTAACTTCAGTTTTTTTACCGTTTTTTTTCTTCTGTGGGAAGAGGCAAAAAAAAAAAAAAAAGAATTGGAAAAATCCCTTCATGCATTCTGCACAGACCCTGTGCCCTACTTGTCTGCTCACAGGGTTGTCTTCCTGCTTTCACATCAGTAAGCTTTGGTTTTTCCCGAGCTTTGTGCCCAAACCATCACTGCCTCTCATTTTTTTTCTGGTTTCAGCTCAGTGGTTAGCTGTTTTGGCATTTATGAGCAAAGGCAGAGATACTCCTCTGTGTTTCTGGTTGCAGGCTCTGTTTTGCCGTGCATTTTCCTAAAATAATTTGCAAGCTTTAATCTAGAAACCAACCCCAGATCTGTGGGGTCCTGCAGTCAAACAAACCACCAAGAGATGGATGCATTCCTCTGCTTTCACCCTCTCATTAAATCAGCTGCATCTGGGTAGTTCCAGCTGTGCAGAACCAGGGGAAATGATGTCAGAAACACTGCAACTTCTGGCAAATACCAACTTACTCCAGAAAACAGATTTTTGGAGCTTGACAGCAAATGCAAATGTGACCTTGAGTTCTGATGATTGCTTCGGATTTTAGAAGTTTGTAAGAGGGATGTGTGTGGATGAGGATTTGCGTATGGAAACTGTATTTACAACCATATGTGCAAAATAGAAAAGGCAATAAAGTTTGAAAGAAAGGGGGCATTAATGGCTTTCTTCTTCCCCCTACAAGTAGAAGTTGTCATAGGAGACAGTTGGAAATGTTCCAATATTTGTATCTCAGCTAAAGTTGCAACTTGTATAGTTTTAGATTTTCTTTTAACATCTTGAATACTTTTATTTCCACGGATCTGTCTATTTTGATCAGAACCATTGAAATAATTTTATATTTTTAATTTCTCTTCTGTGATTATTTGGCAGTAAGTCAAAGGGGAAGTTACTTGCACAGGGTTGTTTAACTTGGAGCAGCTTGTCTTAAAGCCATCAGTCCTGTCAGATTTGAAGACAACCCTGTCAATTTTAATTACTTGCTCTTTGAACATCTTGCTTTCAATACCCCGAAAAGACCCTGCAACTAAGCTTACTGTCAGTGCGTTTCCCCATCTTTCAGTTTAGTCTTTTTTGGGGATGACTTCTTTGTGACTAAGTTTCTGGGCTAAAAAGGGATTGCTTTTTGTTTGGACACATTTTACGACAGTTTTTTTCCCTTCCTGGATCAAGGATATGTTTATTTGCAGTGTTAATGAACTATCTAACAGTCACTGGAGCTCTGTGTTGGTCAGGCAAGTATTGCCTACACTTTTTACTATATATGGTCTGATGTTATGGCATCTTTCACCTCAACTGTCCTTTCTTTTCAGGTAGCTGTAGCCCACTGGAAGCTTAAAAGTTCATTTTTGGTTTTGCAATGATTGTATATAAAATAATAAGATTCTTTGTGGTTAAATATATGGAATTTTATATTAACTGTAAAGTTAACATAAGCTTTAGATTTATATAAACTGTAAAGTGGTTACATCATCTGGTGCAAAACAATAGTGTAGCCAGTTAAAATACCTAAATGGACTATTCAGGGGCACACAGATTGGTCTGTTTGTTGTCGTCTAAAAACCAGAGGCTGAGTGGGCTGTTTGAAATATAGCAACTGACAGTTCAGTGAGCGTTTAATTAAGGTGTATTTTGTTTGTTTGTGGGTTTTTTTGACAACTCAAATAGGTAGGTGGGCTAAACAGGCATGTTTAATGAAAGAGGAAATACAGGGGGTGCTGCAACTTTAAAAAAAATTCAGATTTTGCTATTTCTTAAATGTTCCGTGTATAGAATAAAATACACTTCATTTTACACTTTCTCTTTTCCCTTCAAGTAGTTGTAGATCAGTGCTTACCTCATCCCTCACTTGAATTAACTTTAGATTTCTTGTTGCTTAGAGTTGGCTTAAAGGACTTTATAATGCTGCGCAAAATAATTTTGTCTTAAATTGACATTACAGACTACTCTTGCACAACTAAATTCAAGCATCTGTTTTTGAATCAGTCAAAAATACCCCCTTCCGATGCTTGGTTTTCTTTTCCTCCCAGCGGATTGAAAATGCGATAGCACTGGGATTATTTAGAGCCAGAAAATCAAGTTTCAGTGGATTAGAATACTGAATGTTTTACTCTTTACACTGTTGTCAATATTTATCAATTCACAAATCTAAACATTGCCAAGGTTTTAAGTCAGTTGTTCTAGTCAAATTTTAAAGGAGTAGTTTGCCTTTAACGATGTTTGCAAATACTCCGAATGCCTTGATCGCTGTTATTTTTATATGGGAGGTGGGGGCAGTAGCCAAAGCTTACGTTTTGGAAGGAAGGAACACTGTGAAATAGAGCATGACAGGAAGAACAGAAAAAGGGATGTAAGCATACTTGTTTAGGTTTGTTGAATATCTCTGTGTCTAAGCAATAAGCATTCATGAATCCAAGCTGTTCTGTGAGCAGATCATGTACTGATTCCTGTAAGGATACGTGCATTGAGAGAGTTATGCTTGGCTGGCAGGCTACAGAGAAGCCAAATGCCTACATTGTGGTAACAATTGTTTAGGATTCCTAGATTGATCAGTCAGGAATGCAAATGAGTTTTTGAAAGAAGTTAATTATTTTTATGCAAAATTTAAATTTACTTCATTGGTATTTTAACCTGAAAGAGGGGAAGTGGACAAACTAGAGTTACGTCACTGCTAAATATTTTACTCCATTTATTTATAAATTCTTAGAGATTAAATTGCTACACATTTGGTGTGGGGAGAAAAAAGTGCATCTTTGTATTTTTCTCAATATGGCTTTCTCTGTATGTTTACATGCACATAATTAATATTGACAGTAAATATTATCATCTGTAAAAAGTTTTATATGCTGTGAAAGCATTAAAACATTAATGGATTACTTTGACTTCTGTACACTTTTCTGTATAAATCACATTAGATTGTGGCCTATTAGATAAGCTTTAGTATTTTTAAACAGTATTCAAAAATATTTTTGCAAATTTACCCTTCAGTAGTGCAATGTGAAATAACTGCCTTTATCTCAAAAGATGACTGGGAGGTTCAGCCAAGTTAGGCACAGTGTCTCTATTGTCAGTGATTGTGATAGCCTGAAGGCAAATTCACTTTTTTGTATATACAATTTTTAAAAACCCTATGTAATAAAGAGTCCTTTGAGCACAACTCTTGACTTCTAGCAGAGTGGAAATTGCATATAAAACGCATGGCCTCTCAATTTTTTTTGTTTGTTTAAACCTTCCCCTACTTAGAGTTAATTGCTAAAGGCATCTCAGTGTGTCTGCCCCAGAACCTGAGCTGAGTGAAGGGTGTTTTTCTCCCCGTTCTTTCCTGCAGGTCAGCACACAGAACATGAAGATGGGTGGACTTCCTCGTACAACACCGCCCACCCAGAAGCCACCAAGTCCACCCATGTCAGGAAAAGGAACTATTGGGTAAGTGCAGTTACTGAATGGGTAAATGGCTTTGGTGAACAAAAGGGAAAAGAGGGAAGATTTTTTCTTTTTCTGTAGTGTGAAGGTTTTTTGGTTTTATTTTAACTATTCACAAAGATCAAGAGGCGTTAGATTTGCATCCTCTTATACTGATTGTGTCTTTTATGTTTGTGTGCTTCTGCCAGAAGACAGTGGGCATCGTCAGCCTTTCCCAACAGGAACCTTTTTCTCATTGCAGAACACTTACCACTACGTGCTTTAGAATAAAATGTCATTAACTGTGTGGCTTTGGCAGGTGGTGCTAAACAACTGGAAAATGAGTACATGTTCATTAATTAGTTATGCTGAGTGTGATGAAAGTACTTTCCTGTTAAGTCTATGAACTTGACTTTGGCCTTTAGCTCACGTTAGTGATCAGTATGTAGCTGTCTTAGGTTTTGTCTGTGTTACCTTAACCTGTTTCCACACGGTGCTTCCCGTGTGCAGGCGGCACTCCCCGTACCGCACGCTGGAGCCGGTCCGGCCCCCGGTGGTGCCCAACGACTACGTGCCGAGCCCCACGCGCAACATGGCGCCCTCCCAGCAGAGCCCCGTCAGGACGGCCTCCGTCAACCAGAGGAACCGCACCTACAGGTACCCACGGGGACAGGAGTGCTCTGCTAAATGTCCAGTCCATCTGCGCCTGCCTCTGCAGTGAAGCTCCCTCATTCATCGTGTACTGGGGATGTAATTTGGCACGATGAGAATGGGGGCTAATAAAACCAGAACAGTGAATTATGTTACGGTTGTTCACTTAATCCCCATATTCACCTTAATTTTAGTGCTGTCGGTTACAATACTTAATGAATTACTAAGATTGTGAAGTCTTTCAAGGAGGTAGATCATGATACTATTTTACTAAATGCTTACAAAACTGGGGAAAGGTTTTGTACACATCTTGCCTTCTGCATGTTGAAGGGCTGCACTGTGTGCTTGTACGTGACATTTTTGAACAGTCTTTGATGTTTATAGGTTGAGTAGCTGAAATTGTAGATAGTATTTTGAGGATATTGATAATTTCAAACGCAGAATAAGGCTGAACTGTATTACCAAAGGTTCTGCTAGAAGACTAGCTTTTTCTCTAGGATAATAAGTTTCCTGATGTGATAGGTTTAAATACTTCCCTGGAAATCTTTACTTTTTAAACATTTTAAGTACTTGAGATTGGCTAAATAGATGGATACTAAAGTATAAGAAATGTGAATTTTCCTTTATTATCTTACAATTTCTCATATGAAAGCATATGAATCACAGTTTAAGCAGTCTACATGTTTTAAAGTTATAGGAAAAAGGTCTGTATTTGCTCCATAGGGATTTAACAATCCTGGAATGATGTACTTTGAACAAGGTTATGGAAGTGTTTAATTTTTGGGCAAGTTCACTAAGACTAAATGAAAAACCTGTTGTGTTGTAGTCAGAGTGAAGAGTTTTACTAAAATCCAGCTTTATATAGATTTATATCATCCTTGTTTCTTTTGTTGTGTTCCCTGTTATTTCTCTGATTTAGTAAGGTGCTATATGAGGGATCTTAGATTTCAGCATGCACAGCAGCATATTCATACCCTGGTGATTTTGGTTTCTTACAGCAGCAGTGGGAGTAGCGGAGGAAGCCACCCAAGTAGTCGGAGCAGCAGTCGAGAGAACAGTGGAAGTGGAAGTGTAGGTGTTCCCATTGCTGTTCCCACACCATCTCCTCCTAGTGTCTATCCAGGTAAATGGAAACTTGCTGTCTCTCTTTCTGGCTCAACAGTAACTTTGAGCATTTACATTTTCCTAAACTCCAAGGAAAGTCTGAGTTCATCGCTATTGATAGTATGAGTTTGAATCAAGTAGTATCTTCTCTGAGAGTGTCTGATGTGCTGTTATGCTCCTTTTATGTATTAATTTGTTTATCAGAATTTTTTGCCTGACTGCCTGCATGTGACAAGGTAGGACACAGCACCTTTTTCAGTGGGCTGAGGGAAACTTCTCCATTGTCCTTTTAAGCAAATAAATGTTTTTTTGTTGGCTATTTATGCAGATTCATAGAAGCATGTTTTTAGAAAATTAGATTAAATGAGAGGCAGGCACAGAGTAAATCTTTAGTACGTTAATGCAAGCCTGAGTTGTCACAAAGAGATACTTGTTCAGTTTTATGGCCTCAGTCTTTCCAGAAATAGGAAGTGTTATTAGTGTTTCTTTTTCCTTTGCTCAACCTTTTCAGTGAAGAAGAGTGTATAGTTGGCTTGCAGCGTGATCTGAAGTACATGATGCTTCTGAAACGAAGAGATGGAAATTTTTTGCTTTCCTCTTTATATTTTCTAATTCATACAAAAGCTAAAGTCAGCCATGCTACTGACTGAAGCATAAATAACAAAATGTAAAGACATCTTTCAAAAGTAATGGCTTTCAATGAAAAGTTCCGAGTTGTTCCCTTCAGATCTGGGAAGGGGATTTGCTTGACCCTCATTTACCATCTACATAGGAATGAACCTTTCTTTAACAGCTCCATTGTTCTCTCATCTCATGCATTCTAAAATACTATGCAGCTAATAAATAGCTAACACTGAATAGTCAAAGGCTTTCTCTAATCCTTGCTAACATATCTCCTTATTAACTCCACCTCTTCCTCCTCTCTTCACTTAGCCCCTGCTGGCTCAGCTGGCACTTCTCCCCTTCCTGCTACCTCTGCTCCTGCCCCCACTCCTCCTGCTCCTGCCCCTTCCTCCGCTGCCCCAGATGCTGCTGCTGCTGCAGGAGCTCAACCCCTTGCTGATGGCTTCACCTCTCCAACTCCCCCCGCTGTTTCTTCCACACCCTCTACAGGTGAGTGTCTGCTTCAGCTGCTGGCAGATGAACCCAGATGTGATCATGATCCAAAGCTTTGCGAAGTTACTTCAGCAGCAGTGATTAATAATTTCTTTAAAAATTTAATTACAACTAGAAAATATCTGCTACTACCCAACAATAAGGTTATAGTAAGGTTATAGTAGACAATTGAAGGTGTACTAGTTTTATAAACAGCAATCATTTAATTTTGTAATTTGACTATTTTTACAGTTTTATAATTATTTATTAAGTTGTAATTTCTGTTTGCATACTGAGAACCTCATAGAATAATGATGTTCGAAGGGAAGCAGCACTGATGGTTCTGGTTCAGATTATTCTCTTTCATTAATGGTATAAATAAAAAGTGCATCTAGCAAAGTATAAGTTATATGACTGATCTCTTCAATGCTTTCAAATGACAGTCTCCCCTCAATGAACTGATAAAAAGGGCAGTTTTTTTGTGTTCAGTATTAGGTAAAATACAAGTTTTTATTATGCAGAATAATATCAAAGCATTTTGTTTTACTCTGTGGTACTTTGTGTCTATATTGCAACTTCCTTTTTTTCGTGCTGCAGTTTTCATTTTCTCATGCTGAAGTTGCAGTGTGTAGTAGTTACCACCCACACCACTGTCCTGTATCAGCTTTTGATGAGGAGGTACACCTGCATTGTAAAGATCTCCTTTACACAGCCAAATTCACGTGTAGCTCCCTGCATGCTGTGTTACTTTTCACTGGAGCGGAGGCTGCTCACAAGGGTGTGAATTGGTTTGTGTGTTTATTAGTGTTCATATCTTTTAGTAAGAATTGCACCAGGTTCCAGAAGCATTCTTGAAACCGCGTTTAGTTTAAGGGGCTGTGGCTCATATAAAATTAGAAAACACACTAGAATCCATAACTGTGACTAGAACTTCCTGAAGTGTTTCTAAAGATTTTGGTATCAGAAGATGATGCTGATATCTAAACTACTTTTATGTTTAGAAGATGAGCTGTGGCATATGGGACCTCAATCAGTTTTCCATTTTTGATGCACTGTCAGTATCCCAGTTCTTAAGCCATGTTGTATCTGTATTTTGAACAAGTCAAAATCAAGCAGAAGTTAATATTTTAATGGCTGTAAACTCACATTCACAATTCCATGAAAGAAATTTCAGGTTACTTACTATTTTTAACATCTTTTGTTTCCCTGTGCTATTAGTGAGATTGCTTGTATGGCTTCTCTGAAAGCCATAAAATATTTGAAGAAACTGGATAATTCACCATTTATGAGGTTGTAGTTTTTGATCCTTGAAAACCTCTTATCCCTGTTTTTAATTTCCTCCCTTCTCTCCAGTCACCACTAATTTCTACCAGTGCATTAAGGAACAGAGGGACAGACACATTGGAGAGATGCATCAGGAAAAATGTGAAAAAGCCCATGTACTAGGTGGATTCTTTATTAGCTGTTCCTCATCTGTAAAAAGTGCATTTTTTAAAATATACTTATCTGTACAAAACAGGAGGAATGTGAACCTCTAATTCATGCATTTGCTCTTAGAAGCAAGTAACAGAGCAAGCAAATAAAACTTGGGGTTTTATTTACTGACCTAGTGTAAAGTTTTGCAAAGCAATAAAAACATAGTGGAGAACAATGCAGGTTTTTTAGAAATTGCACATTCCTTTTTCTTGTTTCCCTGTTTGATTCTCTCCTCAACCAGAGTGACCATCCCTTGTTTTTTTGCAAACTCTGAAATTTACTTCTAGGACGAATGGTGGAGACAGAATAGTTTGTGGAGGGTAATAACCCATATGGGTATAATAAATCCAGCTTACATACAGTATAAAATCTAGAGAACTTTATGTGAGCACAGGAAATAGCTTGCTTCATTTATTGCTTGTTTAGATTCAGGATTAATGACTTCAATACAAGAAGTAATGAAAACAGAGAATAAGTTTTAAAGGAGTTGTTTTAATTGGCAGCTCCCTGAAAGAGGGCTTTTGAGTATGACTTCATTTATTCCATGCTTTAAGCCGTTTCTAACATTCTCTTCTCCCCAAGACGATCCTCTGCATATCTTCCAAACAGCACCAAGATAAGTAGTATTGTGTTTTTTAGTTCTAGAAAGTAGCCATGAATCCTGGAAATGGCATACAGTTATTTTTTACATGTATGTTCCTTAATTGCAGGACTCTGAAGTGTTATTTTTTGCAGGTTTATAAATAACTGAATTTGCAAGAAGTTATTGTAATCCATTATTTAAAACAGATAACTGGGAATAATTTTTTTCCATTCTGAAGCTTTGTGGCTTAGACACCTTTGTATTTTCATACTGGCTTTTGTAAGCAGTGCTGAGGACAGGCAGTTGGGAGAGTTGAACGTGTTGCTGTTGAGACATCCAGTGTCCTGCTAGTCTGGCAGCATCCTTCTAGGATGCAGGCTGTCTTAAAAGAAAAAAAAAACAGAAACCTTTCCAAGCCTTTGAAACTTGAATGCAGATATAAAAAAGGCAGGTATCATTCTTCTCATTGCTAATACATTTCCCTTTCTAACCTAGGTCACCCAGTTCAGTTCTACAGCATGAACAGGCCAGCATCTCGACACACCCCCCCGACAATAGGGGGCTCTTTGCCATATCGGCGTCCTCCTTCCATCACATCCCAGACAAGCCTTCAGAACCAGATGAACGGAGGACCTTTTTATAACCAGAACCCAGGTAAGAAAGTTTGTCTGCTCTGTTGAATTCAGCAGTGGCGAATGGAATGACCTTCAGGTCTCTGAAATTTTATGTTCTGTCTTCATTGCAGATCTTGCACTTCCAGTGTGTTGCTGGTAGCTGTGCCAAAGCTGCAGTGCAAGTGCAGAGTGTTCAGCTTCCATTACGGCAAACAGCTTAAAACAATACTGGCTTTGTTGCCAAATAATTTACTTTTGATGCCACAGTCCCTATTAGACAAGCTTTAGTCCTTGACTACACCATGGACCTGCTTTGGTGTGGGATGGGTATTTGAGTTTGCTGATTCTTCATTAATCACTCTTTATCTTGTGTGCTTTTTTCTTCTGGCTAATGGGCAGTTCAAGAAATTGCACTTGTTATACAAGGGTAGGCATTAGACACTTTAGAGACATCAGTGGTGTTTGGTGTGGGATGAGAGGGAACTGTGTCATCTTCTAACCCCCCAAGGGATGTTATTTTAATGGGCAACCTGCGTTACAGGGCAAGATGAGATATTAACAGCGAGTGGCATGTCCTGTGTGTCAGCATAACATAGCAGCCTTTTATCTGAGGAGTCCTTTGTCCCATGCTTCTGATGAGACGTGAAGGTTTTGATACCAGAGTAAGGAAGAGTTTCTCTTTTGACAAAACTACAGAAGGACGCAGCAAGATTGAATGTTGACTTGCAAGTACTGCAGTGTGTTAGTGTTTTGTGGTGGTTGTGCTGATGAGTTTTGAGGGGGGGTGTGTTTGTTGGTTTTTTTTTTTTAAAGTTGAACACTGACCTTGGAATTAGGTCACATGCTGCAATCTGCAGTTAAGAGATTTAAACAGTTTCAAATATTACTGTTTGTGAGCTGCTCTGCAGAGAGATATGTGTGCTGAACTTGAGAAGGAAGTGGGTGGTCCTGCTGGGGATGGGGGAGTGGAAGGGGTTATATGACTAAATTGTAGCCCAGTTACCTGAAATATGTGGTATTTTTTAAGCACATTATGTGCATATTGAAGGCTGAAGGGGGGAATAGGCAAGAAGGAAAGAGTAATAGCAATAAAAGAAACCTTTCAGAATTACCTTTGCAATAAAGAGGATTTTGAGTATATCCAGAGAGTTTTTGACAACTGCTGTGCATTTCTGCTTTAGCAAAGGGATAATTCTCTGCAAGCTGCCATGGCATTGTTAATAGGTAATCACAGAAGATGCCAAATAGACTTACAATAAGTTACATAACCACAATTCAGTCTGTGTACCCAGAAAGAAGATAATGATTATGGTGATTAGTCACTTTGAACTGTAAATCACAAACAAAATACCTCAATTATACTGGCATATCTAATACAATATAAATAAGCAGTTTTAGTAAGAGACTTTTTAAAATATACCTAGCAGAATACAGAATTTGTTTGCTTTGCAGTTACACTAAACCAAGGGTTTTTTTGAGTGTACCTTGAAAGGAGAGGATGCTCAAGCATGCATAATTGATGAAGACCCTAAGAACAGAGGCACTGTTGTGTCTGTAAGGAGCGAGATTAGTTAGTAACAGGACAGAGACCACAATTGCTTCTCAGCATTCCTGAAGAGGAGAAAATAGAAACATAAGAGGTGAAAAAGAGACCTTACAACAGGCGTAAGAGTGTGCCAGCTATGGCTTCTTGTTCTTTGTGGGCTGTTTGGCAGTAACACAGTACTGTTATTTCCAGTGCCATTTTTTAGTATGTTGGCATAGTCATGTTTGTTTATTCACTTGTCGTGAGGATAAAAGATACTTCTATTGCCATGTTCTTTTGAATGCCGCTTCTAAGATAATGTAATTTTTCTACTTCATGGTTAGACCTTTTTAGCAACTGAAAAGAAAATATTAAGAAATGCAGACCCTAAATAATCTCAGCATATGTCTGTCCCAAAGCCACTGCTGCCAGCCATACCACCTAACAAGTGTTTTAACTTTGCAACCTTAGATACCAGTATCTAAGCAGTGTAGAGCTCAGCACAGGCTAAAAACCCTGTGGGGGGAACCGGGCAACTACTGAGGTGGTGGTGGGCACTACACCCTCTTTGTACAACTGAATCCTTACCAGGCTGAAGCAACATAGTGGCAGGTGCTCGTGAGCATTTCTGAACTAATTTACAGCAACTGTGTAGTGAATCTATTGGCGATCAGTCACTGTGGAAGGATGGTGGGAGGCAACATTTAAGCTGGTATTTAGCTCATATTTTGAGACAGCAGAGGTACATTAAAGTTATTCTGATGCACTGTATAAACAAGATCATTATTAATAAAATATGATAGTCCCTGCACAATGCACAGACTGAAGTACAAACCAAAGGGTTAAGGTAAACAAGGAATGATATCAACCAGTGTTAGCATCACAATTTTGATTAAACTATACTACCCAAAGTAAATGAAGGGATTTTTTTGTGCTTGCTTGGAGTGCTTGTCTAGAGTGATTTATTTTTCTCCATGGATAGCCTCATTATTTCTTTCAAAGAAATGTATATAGTTCACAACCAAAGTACACTGAAGGGACCAGAGAAACTGAAGCTAATCTCCTACGATAGATATGAATTTTGTGAATCCACATGATGTTGAACAGAGAAACCATTCTGAAATGGAACATTTTTATAGCATATATAATTAAAAAACCAGGGACTTCATAGTTGCACAAGAACGCAGAATTCATGAATATCACTGCTTCTCAGTAGGACTTCAAATTCAAGTTCCCTTTTCTTGCTTTGAAAAAATGCAAGACCAAATCTTTTCCCAGGTATTGTGGTTACACTTGAAAAAAGTAAATACTCTCAGAGGTCATGTCATTCAAGTCAAAGAAACTGTAATCAGAAATGTATTTCAGTTTTTCTCAAGAGATATCAATTAGATGGTGAGATAATGGAACTTGCATTGTATGGAGATACAAGGATATTTTTGCAACAAAAAAGAATGGTTGCTGTTGGTTTTTATTGTTTATGGTGTGTGGCTGTGAAAGGAATGTCAGTGTGAGTGGCAGAAGAAATTCAAAGTTTCAGACAGTGATGACTGGAACAAGCAAACAGAAGAAATTTTGAGACGTGACTTGTAAATGCCGTGGAGTTCTTTTCTCTTGCTATGATGATGTGAGTTAATTCTGAAAAATACTAGATCATACCTGGCAATTTTCTTACCAGCTCTAGAATTAGTCTGAAATTTACTTAGTTCTGTCTGCAAGCTAAGTAAATGTAGTGGTACATGAAGTGTAGGCCTTTTTCCCTTCATCCTTCTGGACACGATTAAATGTTTTTTGTATGCCACATACTAACAAGAAAATTATTTATTTGTGCTTTTCCTGAGGTGTGCTTTCTGAAAAATAATCTCGCAGCTTGCTTAAAGAATATTACTGCATTACTCAAAGTGATATTAAACCAAGATAAAACTAGTTAGCTGATTTTTTTTACCAGATAACTGAAACTTGTATTCTGGGCTTAAACCACAGTTCAGTGTTACATGTGCAGCTGGCTGAGAGTATCTTCTTTAATTGTGAATTCACATATATTGTACAAAGACAGCTCTTCTGGTACTACTAAAAGGGCTGTTCAGAGTTCAGTGCAGTGGTCTGTGAAGTCAGGTGGGAAGGAAATGAGGCAGCACATCTGGAATAGGCCCTGTGGTTTGGCAGCAGCACGGTGTGCTCTGTTCAGCCAATAAGATCAGAAGTGTTGTCTTTCAGATAGTCACAGTTCTCAAAAGGCATCTTTTTCTGTTTTGTCTAAAATAACTGCCTTATTTGATGGGATTTTTTTGGCCTACGTTTTGCGGAAAAAAAGAGCTATATTCATTTTCATTACTAGGGATTTGTGGATGCTGTTAGTCACCTCTATAAATATCAATTAGGTCTGAAAGGGGGAGGATTATAGGGAAAGAGTCCTCTTGATAAATTTGTCAGTTAGGTCTGTTCACAAAGTGCTATATTCTCTAGGAATAAACTTCAGCTCAAGAGAATCTCACAGTCAAGTCAGAAAAATATTTCAGCATGGATTCTTAATGTTATGAAAAAGATCTGAGTTGGAAATTTTAAAAATAGAGAAATAACCTTGAAGAAAGGATTAGGAATATGCTTAAAGCACTGGAGCCATTTTTCTTTGAATGTCAGTCTCTTTATCTCAGCTTCTTGGCAGCCTGCTATACTGTCTGATTGGTGATAATGTCTACTTTCCTGTTTGCTGCTTTGTTGTGTTTCTAACTGAATGCCTCTCTTTTTAATTTCTGTGGCAGCATCCCTTGCTCCTCCTCCCCCCTCCATCCTACAGGTAACTCCACAGTTACCACTAATGGGATTTGTGGCCAGAGTTCAAGAAAACAGTAAGTTTGCTGCTCCATTGTGCTATGTTTTATTACTGGATGTGGCTTTTTGCATTGAGCTGATGAAAGATTTGACTGTATATAGCCAGAATTCTGCCTTCTCTACTGCCTCTGCAAGTTTCTCTGAAATTGTGAAGGGTGGGAAAAGGAAGTAATTTTGTTGGAGGTACCTCATCCTTCCTTCTCTGAGTTTTATTGTCTCTAGTGTATTTTCCACAAGTTGTAACTGTTGGTCCCAGTGCAACTAATTGGGATAGGGAGTATTACTTCAACCCACTACCATGGTTATAGAGACATTTTCATGGTTGTACTATTGCTTATTTTCAGTTTCAGATACTCCTCCCCCACCACCGCCTGTGGATGAGGCAGTGTTTGATGAGTCTCCACCTCCACCCCCACCTCCAGAGGATTATGAAGAGGAGGAAGCAGCCGTGGTGGAGTACAGTGATCCCTATGCTGAGGAGGATCCTCCTTGGGCACCAAGGACATACTTGGAAAAGGGTAGGTTTAGAGCTAGTAGAGACAGTAGGGTTGTGTTTGTAACAACGTTTTTTATGAGCTCCCGTCATCCTGCTTTTGGACATGGAGTCTGCCTAGACTCCTTCATAGCCAGTATTTGGTATTGTGGTAGAGGTGCTCCTCCAAATGGCAACTTAAAAGAATGAAAGTTAAGCTACTCCTCCGAGTCTGACTCTCTTACCCTTTTCCCCAAAGGGAAGGTGATGACTAGCAGGCTAACTACATATTTTTTAACTTCCTCTATAACCTACCTTTCACTTAATCCTGATAATCATACTCATATGAGGTCAAAAGTGAATCAGTCAGTGCTGTGATTGTGTTTGGGGCTCTGGAAACTGCAATGCTGCATCAGTGTAGGGCTGTGCTAAGCTAGAAAACACTGCATCTGTGTGGGACTGACTAACAGGCTCTGCTGCATGGCTGCATCTCAGTGTCTTCCCCTTCTGAAGCAGGCGTGTGGAAACATGGTGGAGTAAAACTACAGGGAAAAAAACCTGAGTAGGTAGATGGGACACTTGAGTATGAAAAGATCTACTGCCTGGTGTGTGTTCTCCTCTGAAACAGGATCGTGGTGCTTCTTACTAAAGGGTGATATAAAATCTGATGTCACAAAGCAACCAGGCATCTCACCTGACTGTTAGACCCATTCACGCTGCATCGGGTGGGGGAGAGTCAAGAATGCCACAAAGATGAACCCAGTGCAGGACATGAGGGGAGGGTGGAAAAGAGAGAGAAGAGGCACTTTCTGCCAACTCTAGGTTGAAGAAGATGCTACTATTCCTGAGGGAGATGGAGGAATATGTGGGAGTTTCTTTGTTACTCCCCAACCCCATCTAGCTTGTGTGTTTCATGCAAGGAGTACCCAGGCTTTGCTGATAAACTGAGGCTATGTCAGACAAAGTGGCTGACTTGCAGGGTGTTTACATGACTTGCTTTGTCTACTGACCTCTCCACACCCCTGATTGGCAGAAAGTGTTACTGTTATTCTGTTGATGCACACAGGTTCTTTGATTAAAAGTTGTTTCAGTTTATTGTGGTTGGAGACAGTTTATTGTGGTTGGGGAAGCTTTTTTCCATGAGGGAGGATGAGGGAAAAATGCTATCTCATAGTCATAGGACTCTTTTTGCTGTGCAGTTTGGAGGGTATTCCTGATTACTGATATTAGTTACCTGGCTTCAGAAAATCATGTTTTGGAGTGCAGTGGGGTTCCTGATGTTGGATTTCTTTTTTTGGAGGAAGATGGCAAATCTTTTTCAGGTTGGGACCAGTACAGGTCATTTCAGCAAGTACTAGATGTGCTACATTACTTAATGAACTCCTCCTTATCAGGCAGTTCTGAGAATGGACAGTATCTGCTCAGTTGCATTGTGGATGATGTATTTTGGACTGGATGAAGATTGGAAGCATATTACTATTTGATAGGAGAGTAAGTCTCAAGGTTTTTTCCTGTGTTTTTCCAGGCATAAGATACTCTTTAGCCCAATTCTACATTTGTATCACTATCTTTGTTAGGTTTCTGTCATTCCTACCACCTGGCCCTCAGCACATCTCCAGTGGCATTTCAGCTGGGAGCAAAAGAGAAAAAAGAGGATCCTGGTGTGTGCAATGCCTGTTTATAGTTTCTCATACTAATGCAAGGGATGTGTGTGTGTGTACACGTGGTCTGGGAAAACATCTTTCTATTTGAAGAAATATTGACATTTGAATGATAGCATATTGTTCTGTTACACTTTTCTGTGTGACTTCTATGAACTTGTGAACTATAATAGTTTATATAGGTGCACATGTGCACAGATCTGTTACCTCTCAGGAGGCAGTCCAGGCACTTTAGTTTGATATTTAGAAGGAAAAGCATATAGGATAGCAAAACTGTATAGGGGAGTCTTTAAAGATAAGCTGGAGAAAGTCAGGCTTTTAGTCAGAACATTTTTTTTTTAGAGAGAAAAAGTATAGGAAGCTGAACATTGTCTCGTATTGGTGCAGACACCCATGCAAAAACTGGAGATTTGACTGCTTTGCTGAAGTTCAGAGAGAAGTGCTTGGCTGTGAGTTTTTTTGTAGCAAGCTTTGAAGCTTTAAAGTTAATGAAAAGCCCCATGCTGAAAGAGGACTTGCATACTCAAAGAATGCGTATGCTTATCCTGCTGGGAATTATAATGCTTTATCTTCTGCAAAATAATTTATCCCGTTGCAACTCCTTAAATAGTATTCTGTGCCACATGATTCAAAGCAGACCAAATGGATGGAAGTAAGTGACTGTTCCAACATATTTACCCCCAGCAGGTAGAGTAGCAATTCCTAGGATTTGTACTTGTTCTTTTGATATGACTGTTCTCTTATTTAAGTTCACATGAAAGCACTTTGAACAGGATTAGGGTAGATGACCTTTGCCATAGAAGCTGGGACACCAAGGAGGTGTCAAATACAGGGGGTTGCTGCATATTGAAATGGGATTCAGTATGACCCTGTTCTGTAAAGGGGTCAAGCAGTGTGGGGAGGTACCTTTAACACTAAGATATGCTCTAGCTTACAGCTGAGAAGAAAGAGAATAGCAGATCCATTTTGATGGAGAAATTCTTAGGTAGGATATAGTTACTGGGGATGTTGAACTTGAGGACACCACCACGTGACTATAATAGCAACAGCCAACCTGCAGTGTCCACGGACACCCACTGCAGTTTTCCATTGAGCTCTGTGTCTGGATGTGTGGCATGAAAAGGTAAGAAAATCTTCTGACTTTGCAAATCAGATGAATGGAAATGGGTATCCAGAAGGAAATTTGCTCTCATACCACATAGAGAAAATGTGTGGTCACAGCTGCCAGATTTCAGTTGGCTAACCAGCCTGGCCTATGTTTGTGGTCAGTTTGATGCAACAGAGTTCAACCAAACTCTGTGTAATCATTGGAGAACCAAAGATCACTGATTGGAAGAATATCAACTTAAATGAGTAATTCTGTTTTTCATAACTGCGTTGAAACGTGTTCAGATAGAAACGAGAAGAGGCTCTGGCTCAGGCTCACAGGGAAGGATGCCACCTCCTGAGTCACTGTTGCTGCTTCCTGTCTCATCTGAAGCCTTTTTTTACAATACTGGCCTGGACTCCAGGTAACTCATGACATGTGACAAGCTCACAGCTTGAACTGGTGGGACTACAGACAGAAGGATTAAACAGCCTTTTAGAGAGAGGAGTGTTGCCAGTACAAAAATAACATGCTGGAGGAAGCAATGGTGATGTAAAAACAAAAGCCATGCTTCAGGTAATGTTATAAGAGGCTTGACAAGAGGCAAATTTTCTTCACAAACTTAAGGAAGAGTTTCCTTCTTGTGAGCATGAAATAATGAATCCATTCAGTATCAGAAGGGACTAGAGTATACTCAAATGTGAGAAAGAAAGGAATTGGAAGTTACCATGATCCTTGGATTATTATTATCAAAAGAATGAAGAAAAATAGCAGAGTGACTCTAGGAAGACATTTTAAAATTAACAGTTGAAAAGGAATTTTGAAGGACTGTAATTGAACAGAGTACATGTTCATACAGCAACTTCTGTTTTTCAAGCTAAAAATTTACTCATTTCTTCATTTGTGTTTTCTTTGCTCAGAATTATAGGTCTAAAAGTAATTAGAATGAGTTACTTAACAACTACTGGCACGAGTGTAGAGCCAACAACATATGTTTTTTAAATATGCTCCAGTCAAATAATATATATAAAAAAAAATCTCTGTTCATACTCTGATTCTCCATCAGAATTGATTTGTATAATCTCAGGTTTCCCTAGTAAATATTTGAGTTGATTCCTTTTCTCCCTCAGAAGGAAATGACCTCTTTTCTTTTGGAAAGAACGATGAGTTAGTAGGACTCTTGGATAGTGTGCTTATGAACACATGCTGTTAATTTTTAATCCTTGCTTTAGTTTATAGAGTATCTTCCTGTCTATCCCCAGTATCAGATTTTAGGATCCCTGTCCAACATCTATTTTTTTTTTTCAATGGCAGCACTGTATGTTTCATTGCCAAGTGCTCAAAGCAGTGATTGATGCTATTTGTTAAAGTACTTAGAGTCTGGCTTAGCTCATTTTCTGTATGGAGCACATAATGATAGGACTGAGAACAGAAAAACGTATCAAGTTGATGTCTATTTTCTGCCATATCAGGACAATGTTTTATTTAATATTTGCCAGTGCTTTGTCCAATTTCTTTGACTTTCCTAACAACTTTTGTGCCTTCAGTAAGATATTTTGCAGCTGTAAGAAAATGTCCTGATATAGTATGTGTACATTTGGTTTCCACCTTCTTGGTTGTTCCTAACAGGATTCACCCACCATGGTGCTGTATACTCTGGGAGTGGCTGCTGGCCATTGAGACTGCATGCATGCATTTTAGAGATCTAAATGTGGAAGTAGCTAAGGTAGATGGAAGTTTGGGACATCAGCCTTGCTCATTCTTCCTGTGATCTGCTATACTCCTTCTTCCATGTTTTCCAGGTCTTAGTTGTGCTGAGATCTGTTTTAGCACATATATCTAATACATGAATCTTGGAGTAAGTCTGAGTGGTCACAGCCATGGGGAGTTACATTCACCTCCTTGTATCATTCCACACAAAAAGTTTTTCATACATCAGAGGAAGTTGTAAACTTCCTCTGGTGGGTCTGGAAACAGTAAGAATAGAAGAATTAGAGGCTCATGTGCTTCAAAGCATGAGCTCTTACAAAAGGCTTTGGAAGAAACTGTCCCTCTCAGCAGGTCATTCTGCACCCATACTGGGGGGGCAGTGGAGCTCTCTGAGATTGCCTGGATGAGGTAGGGTGATTTGATTTCCCTCCTCCTCCCTGTACCTCTCCTAACAGTCATGCTCTGTTCTTTCCTAGTGGTGGCGATCTATGACTACACCAAGGACAAAGAAGATGAGCTCTCATTTCAGGAAGGTGCCATCATTTACGTCATCAAGAAAAATGATGATGGCTGGTATGAGGGGGTCATGAATGGAGTGACAGGGCTCTTCCCAGGGAACTATGTGGAGTCGATCATGCATTACTCGGAGTGAAGACTAGAGGACAGAACACTGCATCTCCTGCTGCAGGAGCTGTCAGGGCTTCCCAGATCTCCACCAGCTGCTGGGGCCCTATCCCCTATAACTGAATGAAGGATAATTGTAACAACCACTCTTTGGGTTTGGTTTGTTTTTGTTTTTTTTCCTTTTTTCCCCCTCATTATAAAACAATAGTGATTTGAGTTCTTTGAACAAATGGCTCTTCCAGCGGGCCAGCAGAGGCTATCCTGAGCCATCTGACTTTGAATTAAGCTGACCCATTCAGATGTAACAAACTTGTTGAGTAGCTGATACTTCACTCGAATTCTGACTTCTGACAGGCCTTGGGATCTGTCTCAGGAATCCTGTGTGCCCCCATGGTACTACCACTGGCAACAATGCCTGGCACTGGGGATGTCCTGGATGCTTGTGGTGAAGGTTACTGGCCAGTGGACATCCCTCCTGTTTCTACACTACACTCCTGTGCAGCTGGAAGAATCGTGTGCTAGCAAACACTGGGATTTCTGCACAGAGACGTTTCTGTAACTGACTTCCAGATAGCTGGATAAATCCTTAGCGTAAACACTTGTGCAGCTGCTCTGCACACGTAGGCTGGCGCAGGGGCACACAGAGCTGGCTTTCATTCACTCACCTTTCAGTTCAGACAATTAAGATGGCTGCAGCCCAGAGGACCCCCACCCCCATTTCCTCATCTTTTGAATGCCACATATTTGTTTTGTGTTCTGCACTGATGTAAATGTGCTCTTCTCCACAGCGAGCTCCTTGCCATGGTTGCTGCCAGTTCAAACAGAACTCACAGATGCCGTTGAGGGTGAAGGTGAAACAAAGTTTACAGGTCCTCCTGGGGTCTGAGAATAACCTCTAGGGGGTGTGGTCCAAGGTTCAAATCTACTCATGCCTGCTTGCACTAGAGAAACTTGCCCCCAACTTTAGTCTTATGCACAATATAATCTTAAAAATCCAATCAGGTATTGTAAGTTGGCTATTTTGTACTTGATGACTAGATTTGCATATGTACTGTGAGAGCCCTGTGCAGAGGCAGGACAAACGGCAATTGTCGTCTTCATGTCTGTTGCCGAAATCTCTTCAGTGGAAGTAAAAAGGGCTGTTGTGTGTACTGGTTTCCCATGGAAATCCAAGCAGTAACTAGCAGTAGTTCTAGCTCTTCCCCTAGCCCTCTCCATTGTTTATTATAATAGATATTTTGAGATGTACTGGTGGCTTGGGGTGGAGTAATACCAATTTGAAGGCTCTGTAGCCCCTTGTGATAATACTTGGCTTTTTAATCTAGTCTCAGTTAAAAATTCTGCTCTGTGATTGTACACAGCAGGTCACTGTAAGTGATGGCTGTACTATCTGCCTAAGGGAAGGTCTAAGTGTTACCTTTGGGTAAATATCATGCATTAACTGATTAAATTTCCTGTTGAGTCTTGTTAGCCTGCAAATTGAGCTGATCCTGTGTTGTGGGAGCCTCCTGGGCCAGGACATCTTCCTGGGCGACTTTTGACTGTCACCTGGCCAAGTTCCAGCTGGTACCAACAGTAGCCTGTCCAAGGTGAGACAATGCTGCAAGACAATTACCTGTCTTGGAGAGCCCTGTGTGTAAAGCAGAGCAGTGCACAAGAGAGCGCCACCAGAGCTGGGTTTGTGATGGTATTGGCAACAGACAGGTAATACCAGTCCCTTGCTTGGTAATTGGTGCAATACCAGGATGGAGGTGCAGGTTTGGTGCAAACCTGGGCAGGGAGGTATCATAGCTGCTCAAGGGAGAAGAATGAGAAAAAAGACAGGTGGGGTGTGTTTGCAGGACACGGAGGAATGTGATCACCTGCTGTGAGCTTGTGCAAGGTGACAGCAGGCAAGAAACTAGTTTGGTTGAAGTCTGCAGGAGGGACAACTTTGAAGAAACTGGTGTGCAAATAGAGGTTACTTTCTCCCCTGCTCAATCCACATGTAGCCTAAGCACTGTTGTCTTCTTTCTGGAAGCTAACAACATTATTGTTTGGGTGTGTTTGCCAGAACAGATACCCTTATGCCTTTGTCCTTGTGAAAACTTGTCTTTCAGCAAGACTGGGAGAAGCAGCCATGTTCAGTTCCCTCAGCCCATCATTTCTCTTGCAGCAAGCCCAGAACCACTGGTTGTGTAGTCACTGGAATGACTGTTTCTAGTGTCTACACTTTTGGCACAGGGAGGCACTGGGAGGTGCTTGCAGCCAGAGCAATTGAACAGCAGCATTAACACAGCGTGGCTGTGTTTTCCAGGTCTGTCAGAGCTTTCCTGGCTTCTCTTGCCTTGGGTATGTTTATGGCAAGGACTGAGCCCACAATGCTCAAATGCATCGTTAGAACAGCTCAGTGAGTTACTGAGTGAGAGCTCAGCCCCTGTGCACCCACACTCCAGCTGGCAGGTCATGGATTAGTGAAATGTGTCTTTAACCCAGCCCGTGTAAGAGTGAGTGCTTGAACTCTTCTGGCAGGTGGGTGGGGATAGCGTGTGATACACACCTATATCCTTAATCCTCATTCAACTGGTTTTTCATCTTGCAAGTTTTCTGTGTTGTGAGAGCAGAGCAGTGTGAGCTGAGCACTTGCCAGAGCCCAGCACAGAAGATGAGGCTGCAGAACTGTGAAAGTGGAATGTGTGACATTCCTTGAAGAAGTGGTTTTGGTCTGATGGGCCAGGGGTTAGTTTGGTCCCTGCTGATAGCATGTGGAATTGTTTATCCTGCAAGAACTGCTGTGGATGGAATTTCTGGTTCACCAACTGCTGGTTTTATGCTTTCTTATGCAGTACTAATGTAAAGAAATTTGTTGAGTTTTATGCATATTTTTATTTTGTACAGATTTTAATTCTGTGGCTTCTTTGGGGATGATGTGATATAATGGTCATAGACCAGGCCAAGGTAAACAGGCTTTGTATATTGATGTTACATAGATTGCATGCTAGTAAAGTCTGTGAGGGTTGTGTTTCCAGTTTTGTCCCCTGTACTTCTCCTTGTCCAAAATCTTCTCTCCCCCACCCCTTTTTAATTTACAGGTTTAACCTAAAAGGGGCTGGCAATTGGGGTTAGGGTGGGGGAGAAACACCTCAGTATTTTAAATAGGTGCACAGCATCTCTTCACTGCTGCGTTCTGCTGCCACACCTGAAAGTGTTCAGCATCACAGGCTGTTGAAGCAGGATTGTGTAGGCATGAGAGGTGGGGGAAAGAGATGCTACAGCATAGCCCAAAGAGTGCTGTATGGCCAAAATGAATATGTTTCTCCCTTTGTGAGAACTGCCTTAGCCCAGCCAGCTGTTTTCATTGTGCACAGAAATTGTTCAGCATTCTCTAGGGGTGTATTTTGCCTTGGTTTGCTGTATTAGAGGTTTCTTCCTTCCTCTTGGCCCCAGGGACAAAGCTGTTAATTACAGCTGCCTCTCCATCATGTGCCTGCACGAGGGGAAGTCTGACTGAGTCTGTCCACATCTAGTGCCGAAGCAGGTTAATTTTGGTGCCTTCTTTCCAGCCTAAGAGAGATGGCTGAGGTTGCATGTGTCTCACCCATTTTTTACCCCTCATCTTGCTTTTTTTTTTTTCCCCTCTCTCACTGGTTAGAGCAGAGGGCTGAGAAGGGCAAGAGAGGCAAGCAGCCAATTTTATGCTTGAGCATCCGGAGAGCGTGTCCATGCACACTGGCTCGAGTAGGCACCAGAGAGCTGAAGCAATGCCTAAACACTTGCTGGTCTCACTGGTGAGACACAGGCAGATACTGCTGCACTGAAGAGCTACTGCTCTCACTAGAGGACAAGAGATGTGGCATGGCCCCAAGGTAGATGACAGTTTGGTGTGTGTTACCAGGAGGTTGATCATGTTCCTGGAATTCAGCTTGTCCTTGCAGTTAGTTGAGTTAGTTGTTCCTGAAAGTGGCTGGAGATTGCTGCTGATGTGACCTACAGGTCCTGTGGTCTGTGGCTGGGGTGGCTTACCCATGGGTGCCAGAAAGGCTTACACCCAGCTGGTTCTTGTTAGAGCAATTTGTTCTCCTTTCACAGCTGCTGGGCATTTTCTTTCTTTGCTGCTGAAGGTTTTTGGTGACAGCCAAAGTTGACATTGGCAGTGATTCAGCTTCTGAGAAGAGCCACTTTTATCCAGGGTGTTTCAGTTGATCATGAGAAGAAAGCCACGCAGCAGCAGGACTGATGAACCTTTTCTGGCAGAGGGTGGGCTGCCTGCCTGCTGTGTGTGTCCGTGTTGTTGCCTAGAGGTGGAAGAAGGTTGTGCACTGACATTTTTGTGCTTCTGTGGTGTCTCCCACCTGTGCTTGATGGTGACTTAGGAAGAGCTCAGCACTAGCAACTTCTACGACTTCTTAGCAAACGCTGCTGGAAATGAGCTGCTTTTTTGTTAGTTATGTCTGTGGGCTCCAGGCATAAAGCAAAACTCATGTTTTCCTTTCTGGTAAGGATAGAACTTTATGTGGGTTAGTAAACTGGGAGCATTTACAGGGCTTCTCCTCCTTGGAGTTGGGACAGGACATTTTGTAAAACAGGTGGTGTCTGTATTCTCTGCAGGCCAACTTCTTGGAAGCTGCTAGAGGATGCTGGTGAAGAGACCATGGTGCTGTGGCTTTACTAGGAGCAGTACTTATATTTACAGTATAGAGAGTCACTGAAAAAGCACTGCAGCATTTTAGGCAGCATTACAAACACCATGTAGAGACTTCAGTTCCCACGTTGGCAACTGTGGCAGTGGAAAACCTACAGCCCTGTTGCATTCACTAAGGCAAGTATTTACAACACTAATCTCAAGAGAAGATGGTGGTGGAAACTGAGCATTAGGTAGATGATGGGCTACAGCTTATAAGGTGCCACTTACAAGAATCTGCTGTGCTTACAGGTCTATTCACCTTCCCCATCTTTTGGCATCTCCCAGTATTTGGTGCTGCAACATTATTACAGAACAGTACCAGAATGGAACAATGTGTGGTTTGGGGTTTTTTCATCCCCTGTAGCTGAAGTCAGTGTGTAGTAACAATCCCATTGATCTACTTCTGATTTTAAAACTTCAAGAATAGTGGGACCTCCACCTCATGTCCTTGGGGAGGTTGCTGAAAGCTTGGTGCAGCCAAGGTTTGACAACTGCTATAAGAAAGAGTAATTCACAGACCACGGTGTTCTGCTGCTTTCATCCAAAAAAATCCCCACCCATGTGTTTTGTTCAATCTCCTACCCATGCAGGAAGAGTTTGTTTCTTAGGTACTCTAAATATACTAATTTTATTAGCACCTGTGCTTATAAGCAAGATGTGTTAGGAAACAGAGAAGGCAGCAGCAGCCTGATGGCCAGAGGTCAGCCTACAGCCAGCAACCTGCTGAACAGATCTGGTGACCCCGCTGAAATGTGTGCAGTAGGTTTGTTCCAGTTTCTCGTAACACCTCAGAAGAATCCTACCACTACTGACTAAGAGGAAGAGCTGTGTACAAATTCATTTCCATTACAGCGCCCTGATAAAGTGCTGATATGTCTGAGATTTTTTGGTAAAGAACAAGTGCTTCTTTTCACATTTGAAAAAAATGTCTTTTGCAACTTGCATGGACAGTTTCTATGAATTCTCTGGAGATGTCAGTGTCTAACATGGATTTTGTCCATGCACCTTTTTCTGAAAGCAGATACCCCCTTTGGTTTGCAGTCAGAGGAGTATCACGCTGTGCTTTTGCTTTTGGTACTGCTGATGCAGTGGATGAGTGCAGAGCCCACTGTAAATGACCAAGCCCATAGGACTCTGGGGAGCTGTATGCCACCAGTAACATTTTATTGTGTGTGCCATTTGAACCACCTTCCAGTGAGTGCAAAACCCAATTTTTAAATTTTTTTAATTGTACTTGGAATTAACTGTTGCTGTGTACTAAACCCTCTTGTTACAAGCCCTAAATAAAAGGAACAAAGCACACCCCATGTGTTCTGTGAGCGTGCCACAGCTGTGTCACATTCCTTGTCTTTGTCTACAGACTTTTCAACACACTAGGGACAGGGATAGTGGCTTATGTGTGCAGGAGGATCCCCGAGGATCTCTGAGCACTGCACTTCCCCCAGGAAAACTATGATCCTTGGCATAGAGCCTGCTGCCTTCAGCAGCTCCTCTCTCCACCTCTGTATGACTGCTCCTTTTCTGGTAGTTGCTAACATAACATCTCACATCTCTGCTGCTCTCAGGGCCAGCCTGGGAGCAAATCATGGGGGAGGGAGCAGAGCCACATTCCCTACGGTAGCCCCAGAGAGGGTTCACAGCAACACTTACCAGCCAGCAGCTGTTCCCGTGTGAGCAGAGTTGGACAGGACTCTGGGAGCCTGAGGAAGGAGGCAGATGGAAAAGGTAAGCCTTCAAACAGGGTCCTCTTTAGACCTGTAATTGGTGTGCACCATGTTACTGGTACAGCCAGCTCTGACCCCCTGAAAAGAACTGTGCAAAGGAATAAAAAGTGATTTTATTTAGAGTGAGCATATCAGTAGTAACCTGTAGGCCATCAGATACCTGAACCCCTACAGAAGGGAACCACTGATGGATGACCTGAGAATATGGAGGGGTTTGAAATGAAAAAGGAAAATTGCAAGACAGAGGATTAAAACAGGTTATTAAATTTAACTACATCTTTATTGAATTGTGCATATTCCATTGTATAATGATCTATATTGGGTATTCTATAATGTAGTATTTCTTTTGTCCTCTCTCATGCTTAAAAAAGTATATTTATACATATATTTATATATATTTATAATATGGCAAAGCTCCCCCCAACCTGAAACTATCAGTCTAAAAGAGCTTTGATTTTTCTTTTTGGAAAGGGAAGAAGAGGGGAGGCAATCCCATTAAAAGATAAAATGTGCAATTTTCTTTTTAAAGCAGTAAACATGAATGTATTTACAGCACTCAGCACAAGTTTGCTGCACAGACAAATCATCATTGCAGTGACACTTTTTCTTACACTTGCATCTCCAGTATTATACAGAATATTCCCAGGGGCCGGTAACAATTACAGTAAGCCATAAAACAAACTGCTGCTCCAGTTAAGTCCTGGTCCACTGCAGTCCACTAGGAGGCCTAAAATTTCCAATTACAACTTGTGACAAAGCATTTAGTTTTGATTTTAGAAGTATAAGCTGCACCAAATCAGCAGCAGGGCACTGTGGGCACAGGTTGGATTGCTAAACTGTCCTTTGCAGGTGTGTACCCAGTTTCCAGTGTTGGTTAAAGGCAATGGATGCACCACATCTAACAGTGGCACCCTGTTCTCTTGCCAGACACATGCAGCAGATCAGCAGCACATCAGCTCCTGGCAACTTGGCCTCTCGAGGCTGGTGCGTACCTGGAATTTAGCTCTGAATGCATCTTTGGCATCTTGGGAAAGCTGGGAGGAAATTATTTTCCACTGTAGGGAACAGTTGATTCAGTTCCAAAGTCTCCTAAAAGACAAGTTGCCTAAAAGACAAGTTGCCTTTAAGCATTTAAATAAGGAGGGGGTAGGGTCCAAAATCTGTCACTCAAGTTCCTTCTCACTCATTTATCTCACTAAGTCCCTGCCGTGGGAGATTGTGCATCCAGTTCCTGTTCCTCCTGGTCTTCCAACTTCTCTAACTCCTGTCAGCAAAGATACACACATCTGCTGAACAGAGCTCCTTGAGTCCTTCCCCCCTGAGTGCCTTGCAGAACCAAATAATCATTAACCCAAGTCACCATTTTCCCCGTGTTAGTGGCAGTTACTGTAACACACTGTGTGGGATGCACACGCATTTTCATCTCATTTGCAGTTTAGTGTCTTAAACTTTTCAAAACTACACCAATCCTGTGACTCAGTGGATCACAGTGTTAGTGAGTGCTGCCCCCTACAACAGACCCCTGGTTTGGTTAGTCTTTGTGGGGACTTTTTAACTGAAGGAAGGAAAGAATTCAGAAAGGAAAATTGCTGAATTTAAGACAAACTTATAATTCCAAAATAAAGCTTAAAACCCCAGCATGTTACAAAAACATCCAAAAGAAAATTATCCCTTGTAGTGTTAAATCTCTCTGGTTTGGAGTCTGCCCTGATTGTGCGAGGGAATGCAAAACTAAACACCAGGAGCCACAAATGGGTGTCAAAGAATTAAAACTCTCACCTCCAAATGAGGAGTACACTGTTTGAGTACATAATCTACACCTTATCAATGCAAAAAGGGAAACAACCAAACTCATATGTTCTGGTTGTATCCTCACTACCTTCTGCCAGGAGTTTATACTGCTTTCCTGGAGTGCAACTGATTTTAACATGACATTAGTTGAAGTAACAATCATAGTAAGACTCACTTATCATCTTATTTTGAATAAGAGACAAATTTACCTGCAGTGGTACCACTGAAGCAAAACAATTTGGTTCTATGCCTTATTCCGTAAAAAGCAGAAAATTTCTCTTTTGCCCTTCTGCTGTTGAAATGGCACTTTTGGTTCCTTAAACTGTGGAAAAAAGGATTTTAAATCAGAGGAAAACTGGCCACACATTATCTCTGAGCTTGTTTGATTTATCCAGTTCCCTAAGGGCACAGAAAGAAGGAATTAGAAAACCTTTAAATGTGTAAGCCCAGAACAGTAAATGTGAAAATGCACTTGTTGAAAAAACTGCTTCCTCTCCCATCAGACCTGAAACCAAAGTGATCCAGGGTAGCTTCACTTTGTTTCCCTGATGTGTTAGTCAGTCACTGTTGCCCTGCAAGCAACTGCAGAGTAAGTTCAGGAGAGGAGCTCTTTGGCTTTGAGGTCACACACCAAGTCAGAGCGGTCAGTGGAGGTTTGCCACAGGAAGAAAGCACTGTGCAGGGGGAAGCAGGAACCTCCTCTCCCAGCCACAGGTTTTAAAATACTAATCAGAATCCCCAGCATAGCCACCTCCAACATGTTACCATAGTTTGTTCAGAACCTGTGTTTGTTTTTAAAAATAATTTCTCCTCTAAGATTAGTGCTGATCGAAGAGCATAGTTTTCCCTTTCAAAGCAACTTCCCAACATCTGACTTATGACAGAAGTGTCTGAGAAGGCCAGCTCCCTGCTTTCTACACCTGTGCTGCAGTCATGGAGAAACCTGGCTGAACAGGAGGGACCCTGCTGCTCAGAGGTGGATGCTACTGCTGCATGAGAGAGAAAATGAAGACCTAATCTGGAACAGATTACAAAAGCAGCTGTATGCCCTCAGCTGCCCCTGCAGCAGTGGAGTTTCCCTGACACCCACCTTAAGTGTCACAGGCCATGTACTTCCTCCTGTAACACAACTGGGGTTTTAAGTAGCCTTACACTCTTTAGTATTTTGAGATCAAAGCACCAGCTCTCTTTGTGTCTGAAGTATGAAAATTTAGCTTTCACACGCTCATTTTAATAGTGCTGGAAGGATTACTGCCCATGTTTGTAGCAGGAAGCATCTTCCTGTGTGTCTGCAATCCAGCCCCTTAATTTTCTGATTTAAATAAATAGGTGCAATTACGAGACCAGTGCACACAGGGAAAAATAACTTCCTTGCAAATAAGGCATAACTATTTACTTTCATGAAAGCAGTAAATAAACACACCGGAAAACTAAATTACAATGGGAGGGACAGTGTGTCTCCTAAGCTCAAAAGACAGCCAGGTTGTCTGAACCACATTGTAGCCAAATTTCAGTGTTTAGCTGAGAGAAGGGAAGCTGCAGCCACTCACTGAATTTCTGGATCACTACTGACTTAGGAAGTAAACTGTAACAAGAAGGAATACGGGTGCCACCTTTGCTAACATTCATTCTTTTTGTGGCAAACTAAAGAGTTAAATGCCTGTCTTCAGCAAGCTGTTTGCAGCCTGCAGTAGTAAGTATGGATTCATTGCCTAGGGAAAGATACTGGGAAAATGAACGTGGGCACAGGAAAATGAGAACAAGGCTCAAATGTCTCTGAAGAAATTGCACTCAAAACATTGCTGTGCTGAGTCCAAAGCACAGAGGTACCCGCACTGGATGAACGAACGTAAGAGGCTGGAACTGACACACACCAGTGGAGCTGTCCTGGGAAAAGCAAAGCACATGGGGCAAGCAGAATCCCCTGCCTGCTCTCACCTGGGAGCACGTGCTGCATCAGCCCGGATGCATCCTGCCAGGGAGCAGAACGTGCCCACTTACCCATCATGGTAACAGCTGAGGAGTTGTGACTGTGCCTGTGCCTTTTGCTCCACTGGTGTGCCTGAGCCCCAGGAGCTGCATACAGTACAAAGCAGCAAGAGGACCAATGTTGAAAATTACAGCACCCATGAATTGCAGTATAGCTTAACAACCTTCCTGTGAAGTTACTCACCAGCTACACTGAGCATGCTTAAAATCAACAATGCAAATGCTTTTAAGGACACTTGTAAGCACAAAAATAGTAGAAACAAAACTTGGTGAACAATTTGAAAGATACAAAAAAGTGCCTTTCCATAGCAGTGCTTTAAAAATGCACACAATGGTATATACTCTTATTGCTCAAAAAAACTAGTCTGAAATATTAAAACAATTTCCAGAGGTGCTGAAATAGATTTTTAAAAAATCATATGAAACAGGTCAGCAGAGACAGCACCACTAATTTTTCTCTTTTCATGATGCACCTATTTAAAACTATATAGTTATAGATGTGTCATTTACCCCCTCTAATTAGCAAAACTTTTTTTCCTATTCATAAAATATTGACAAATACATTTATTTTATTATTTGGATTTTTAAAAAAAACTTTATAAAAAAAAGGAATGGGGGACACTGTCACAATATTTCTTAAATCTATCATCCTCAATTACTCTAATGAGAGTTTAGTTTATATAGTTTTTACACATGTGAGGATACTGTCAGGTCAAGCCGCTGCCTTTGTTTCATTCTTTGGGGAAAGGAAAGCATTTAAAGTTTGCTTTTGGATAAAAGGTAAGCAAACAGTGAAATGATTTGCCCTGTGAGCCTATTGACAGTATCCCCGTGGTGATGAGGGAAGCCGGGGTAGGTACAGTCCAAGTATTTCAGTTGTTTTACAAAAGGCTGCATACCACCACCCTGTAATGAACATGTATGATATAGAAGACCACTTACACTACCTACACTACTTTATCACAAAGTCTGAATACGTGGGTAAGACTGTACAGTCAAGCTGCTGAAGTACAAGAAAAAGGACTGTAGTACTTGATCTGGTGATTGACTGTGAAGAGATGACTCACAAAAAACCAAAGCAAATCAATAGTATTTTCTACTGATACAGGCCCTTAAATTAAATTATTAGCAAATGTTATTGCCTCTTAAGGTTGTTTTTTTTCCAGTCTTCTTCCTTCACTGCTAGAAGTGCAACTTTGTAATTAACAGGTTAATGCACTGGTCACAGTCTCTGGCGGGTCAAAGAAAAGAGAATTTCTACTCTGCTTGGCCTGAAATTGCCACTCCCTTCTTTCTTTCTAGAAGGGAAAGTTTCCTGACAATTTCTAATGAATTACAAACAATACTTTCTTTACATATTTCCAGACACCTGTTTTTGTAAAGGTAGTACATTTTCTCAGGCACAGAGCAGGTGAGACTGTATGCTGTGTATGCTTGTGTGAGAACAGAACCCTTTCTACAGAAACCTACCTGTTCATTCAAGGAAAGAACTACACGGATAAGTGATGGATCGGCGTGGGTCAGCCTTGTGGGTTGGCAGGATTTTCGACTGCAGGAGTCCTGGCAGCTTTCAGAAGGGGTTAACACAAATATATTCATTCATCTTGAGCCATAGAAACAAATGATCGAGCCTACCATCAGTTAGAATGCATACTGTTTTGGAATAACATATATTTATCCTACTTAACTGCATGGACAAATAACTTTGAAAGAATTTGTAGCACTGTATATTTTTAAACTATTTGGGAGGAGGGGGAGGCTCTCTATAGTATAAATATATTTCACTCCAGCCCACTATATATAAAATCTACTTTTTTCCTCAGAGCATACTCACTTTCAGTAGTATTATGACCAGAATGTTTTGGTATGTTGAATCTGTACTTTTCAATCAATGGACCATGTACAGTTACTAGCAGAACACCTCTGGCTCTGCACCATTTACCCACCACAAACTGCTGAGAAGTTCATGGGTTTGGGTTTTTTTCTTCCTTTCTTTAAAGTGCCCCCTACATCTCCATCTTTGTGGTAAGATTTGACCAGTTAGAGTCCGATTCCAGGTAATATACTGACTGAAACAATAAATACGGTTCTACAAAAACATTCTGGTTATCTTCTATAATTGCGACGAAATATATCACAATATATTATATACCTACACTTATAATACATGCACAAACATGTCTCACGTGGACAGACACTACAAAAAAATTATCTCCCTCCCCCGCCCCTAAATGCAGAAAAAGAACGAAAATGGGGTTTTGGTCCAATCCATAAGAAGGGTAAAAGAAATTGAAAGGATGAAGCCGATACCTCTCTACTCACTTTTTCCAATAAAATATCAACACCCCCAACCCCTCAACTTTTTTAGCCTAGCCATGAGAGGGGAATGTCTTTACATTTAGCCTTAGCTGCAGTTTGAGATCACCTCTTTTGATGGGGCTATCATCCACATCCCCACATTCTCTCCAAGTGCGCAAGATCACAGGCTGGCTGATCACAGAGCAGCCCACGAGTCATGGAGAGCAGCGGCCCCTCGGGACTGACTACCAGTCCCGTGACAGCTTGGTGTTCTGATCCCTTTTGGGAGGTGCTGGGGGCGGCCCCCTCCGTAACGTTGCATAGCCAGATATGTGACTGCCCCCAAAGCTGCTCGTCTTCTGCTGGTCAGCCAGCAGCTCCGGCGGGGGCGGAGGCAGGGCCATGTCGTCCATGGTGGCGGTGGGCTCTGCCCTCGACATCCGCGCGGAGGAGAGGGAGCCGTGCCGGGTGATGGATTTCCGCTGCAGCGTCCGGTTGAGGTCTGCCAGGAATCCTGGCTGAACGCTAAGGCTGGACTTGGGTGAAGTGGGCACTTGAGGGCCAGCTGGCCCTGGTGGCTCTGCGACCTCCGCCTGCGTCAGTCGGGTGCTGTCGTTCCGCTTGGGGCGTGTGGGTGGTGGGGCTTTTTTCACAGACGGTTTTGACCACGCCTGAGGCTGGGGATTTACAACAGCGACTTTTGGGGAGGTGCTGCCCGAAAACACAGATGGGATTTCTACTGGTGGGGGAGGAAGATCTATTTCAGGTGGTGGTGGTGGGAAGTCTGAATCAGATGGTGGTGAAGGGAATTCAACCACAGGTTCCTTTCCAGATATACTCGGAGCAGAAGCCTTGGCTGGGATCCCACCTTGTGGAAGGACAATGGGCAGGCTCACCCCAGAAAGGTTGAGCTTTCCTGGCTTTGGGGGGGCTGGAGGAGGCGATGACTCCTTGGAAGGAGACCCTGATGGCTCTGGTGGGTGTGCAAATTTGCTGACAAGGCGGTCCACTGAAGGCCTCTTGGACTCATGGTACTCAGTGGAGCTCGTGGACTTGATGCTGGAGTTGCGCTGAGGTGTCGGAGGCGGTTTCTTCCCTCCAGGGCTTGATGTCTTGCCGGCCTTTTTGACTGGAGACCCTGATTTGTCAGGGGGGGGAGAACCTGCAGAGGAAGCTGGGGAAGGAGGTGGAGGAGGAAACACTAAACTGCTCTCTGGTGGAGGAGGGGGGAAATCTGGTGAGGGAGCAGCAGCAGGAGCAGGCTGCCATTTGGGCTTTGCCTTCACTGCTGGAGGGGACTGTGGAGCCACACTCAGTGGAAGGGGTTTCAGAGGCTGGGGCTCAGTGGCAGGTGGGGTGGGAGGAGGTGGGAACTGGCTAACTATCTGCTTCACCACCGATGGCACTGGGGACTGAGGGGATGGAGGAGGCTTCACAGAGAAACTCTGCTGCTTTGGGAATGTTGCAGGGGGAGTGGGGCCAGGAGGGGCTGGAGGGAGAGGAGGCACCTGGGGAGAAGTGACACTTGGTTGTTTCTTTATTGCAAGGGGCAAGGGAGCTGTCACAGAGGGGGTGACATGTGTGACCCCTGGCGAGGCTGCCTTCCCGCTGGGCTGGGGGGGCAGAGCTGCCATG